GCGCCCCAGTATCCCACTGGGGTTCCGTCGCCATCCCGCTAGCTTTAAGTCGGGCCTGTCCCTCTACAGGGGGAATATTCAAAAATAGAAAAAATAGTCTGGGGATTATTTTTTGACTATTTTTGGGCACTTTTCGAGCATTCTTGGAGTATTTTGCATTTTTCGTCCAAAATCCCCTGTAGGGGGACACGCCCGACTTCACGCTAGCTGTCCATCTCGTTGTGTATTTGCCCTCCGACAATCCAATCTCAGCTGTGCTGGGGGAGCAAAGGACGACGCGGGTCTCCCCGAATTCGGCGTTGAGGGCGCCAGGATTGGCGCAGTGCGCGCTTCCCCCGCCTCCCTTCCCCTCGTCGTCGCCGCCGCCATCGTCGTCGACGTCGTCGATCCTTGGACCTCGATGTCCGACCCGGATCGGTCCCCAGACCGTTCCTAGGCTCCATCCTGGCAATTTTGCTCGAGCCGCGCCTTGCCGTGGCGACGAGGACCCCCAGAATCGGAAGCACCTCGACCCTCGAACTTCGCACTCCATCTTTGGACAGTCCGTAGCGTCGTTGTTGGCCTCTCTCCCCTTCCTCCTTGCTCCGCGCGCAGGAGGAGGAGGAGGAGGAGGAGGAGGAGGAGGAGGAGGAGGAGGAGGAGGAGGAGGAGGGGGGGAGGAGGAGGGAGGAGGGAGGAGGAGGAGGAGGAGGAGGAGGAGAGGAGGAGGAGGAGGAGGAGGAGGAGGAGGGGGAGGAGGGGGGAGGGGGAGGGGCTCCGGGACAACACCTGGGAGGGCCTGAGAGTCGCGCGCGACGTGCACAGCGCGCCGTGCAGCCCACGACGCAGGGCGTCGGCCGCCCTGGTGGCGCATCGATCACCACTGGTGCGTGCCCTGCAACACGGCCAGGAAGAGGGCAGATTTCAGGCGATCGCAAGCATGGAAAAGGCCAGGAAAAGGCCAGTCCTCCTCCTCCTCCTCCTCCTCCTCCTCTTCCTCCTCCCTCCTCCTTCTCCGCCTCCTCCTCCTCCTCCTCCTCCTCCTCCTCCTCCTCTCCTCCTCCTCCTCCTCCTCCTCCTCCTCCCCTCTCCTCTAGTTCTCCCAGAATCAGGCGATCGCAAAAATGGATCAGGGGGGCGTGGATTCGCGACGGGTCCCGTTTCCATGGGGAGTCGCGGACTTCCGCCGCCGAGCGAGGCGGCACCGGCCGCAGTTTGGGGAGGGCACCTCCCCCGAACCATGGATCTGGCGACCGCGCGCCAAATCCATGGGTCATGAATCCATGTTTGCGCGCCCCCGAAGAGTGTACCCGCGAGGCCACAGTGCAGACTCCTCGAGAGCACCCGCAGGGGGCACCCCCTCTCGCGCACGCAGCAGCTCCGCGCCCGGGCCAGCACCGCAGCGGCCGCGACAGCTGCTGCCAGCAGCACCAGCAGCAGCTGCAGCAGTTTCGCCGATGATTTCTGAAATGCGCCACTCCTCCTCCTCCTCCTCCTTCTCCTCCTCCTCCTCCTCCCCCTCCTCCTCCTCCTCCTCCTCCTCCTCTTCCTCCTCCTCCTCCTCCGTTCCTCCTTCGCCGATGATTTCTGATGTCTCCTCCGTTCCTCTCCCTCGCTCTTAGTCTAAACCACACCGTGTGCAGTGCATTGTACAACTAAGCCGTGAGTTGCCTTGCGTGCGGGCTCTCAGGCCTCACAATCCTAGCAACCATCGTGAGGATCCTGACTCTAGGCCTCTGTAGTTGCCCCGGGGCCATAGGAACATGCACCGCAAGTCGCGACGTCATTGGACTCAATTCGGTTGACGACGATGATTGGAACCCATCGCTGCGGCGCCCAGGCGAGCAGGGATGTACCGGCTGCCCGGTCGTTTCCGCTCGCTCGGAAAACACCCGCTCGCTCGACCAAGCAGGCCGTTGATATCCTTCATTGTAGGTTCTGTCGTCCGAACCGCGTTGTTTCTTCGACGGCTACAACAACAAAACTCGTCAGTCTGAGGTGAGGCGGCGAACTCCGCTCCAGCGAGAAGCTAGATGAAAGGCTACAACAAAACACGCTCGGGACACCCAATTTCGAGAGCGAACTTTGTTTCGGATCCTTCGCATTCCCATGACATGGCATGGATCGCCCCACGCTCATCATCCAATGTGTGTTACTCCATGCCCCTCTTCTACTAAATTTCGCCGCGCCCTACATGCATATTCTGAAGTGCAACTGCTTGACCATATCAGCGCTTCTTTGGAACCCCCTATGAATTCCTGATGCCGGAACGCATGACCTTCCAATCGCCACGTACGCTACCACCTGCATCCCACAACGACATGCACATCGACAACGTTTTCACAATTGGGTTGTTGTGCGATGTGTGCCAACGTATTTGGAAATGTCAGGCTGGAGTTTCTACTCGCCCCCCTCTGTTTTACATCGGCCAAGGTTTTCCCGCCGCGTCCATTACAAGAAGAATTGGGTACGTATGCGACTGCGGGGTAGTAAATCTATGGTGCAAGACGCAGGCCTTCAATACCATGCACACTCCTGTGCACTTTCAGGCATTCCTCAGCTTTCTTGTCAAACCGTTTTGGCATGCAGCAGATTTCCGCGCTGACAGTGGAGCCTTGTATGTCGCGTTTTCCTTTGGGTGTTCCATGTGGTACATTGGCCGCACCGCAGGCGCTCGCACCATCAAAGAATCGCAAGCGTTTAAACCAACTCTACGATGTCGGGAACACTTTCGGCCGACGTTTCAAGAAACTGGCAGCAGAACAGGTCGGTCGACCACGATCTGCGATTTGGCGCAATTGTGCGCTATGGGGTGGCACGCCTTTCCCAGTTGCTTGAAGTGGTACGAAGACGATCTCCGCCGCGGGTCGCTGGCCACCAACGTCTTCCCACACCCGAACCAAACAAATTTCTGCCCATCCCAGACTGGGCAGACCCGACGACCTTGACTTTTCCATCATCATCGGGGAACCCCAGGTATATCAGCAGAGCGATCTCTCAACCTCATTTCAAAGATCAAGGATGTGCTGGAGAGCTCACACGCCTCTACAGCTATCTTAACCATCCTTCTGGGCTTTTGCAAGCGACCTTCTAGTTTCAATCCAGCCACGGTGGGAAAACACATGCGTTCTGGAAGGATACGCACTATGTTCTTTCTTTGGATCTTGGCGCGTATTCAACGCGTCTGGATGTTCAACAAACAGTGGCGCCAAGGACATGCTGTTCCTTAGTAAGCCTGGCGCGCGGGATGTGTGTATGCATTTGCCATGCGAGGCTAGAGTCCGCGAGCGACGGAAGTTTTAACATTTCTGCAGGGCGGGAACTCACAGAACACATGAAGTGCTACCTTTCTTGCGACACGCCCACCTGGTCAGATTCATGAGCGATGCAGGGACTTTCTGTGTATATCTTTGGTGGAAGTTACTCGAAAGTCCGCTGGGCCGTATCTTCAGCTGTTTTTTTTCGGCGCGATGTGCAGATTGACCGACGCAGGCCCCCACTGGTTTTAAATGTTAATTCATTCGCAGCATCGAGATGCGAGAATAGGTTCTTCAGTTGATCGAAGCCAACGGCTACGCGATGCTGGCGACGAACCCCTTTGGCACAGCGTGGCATTGACCAGTGGATAATGGGGCGTGCGTTTACCGCGTTCTACCCCGAGTTTGGCCAGGCATTCCACGGCTGGACCTCGATTGCACTTTTGCAGCGTGACAGTTTGAAGGGCAATTCCCAGGCTTGGAACAGATCGTCCAACCGAGCTGGCTCATGAATGTGGTTTTAAGAGTTTCGCTGGGCGCCCGTCGACCAGGGCCCGCGCCGCCGCGCCGCGCTTCCACAGTTATGGCCCCGCCCACTGCGCTCGTCTTGAAGGGGTGGAGTGCGGAATTGGCTTGCAAATTGAGGATCGTTTGGCGCGCTAATATACGCCCGAACGCTGGCGCGACCCCTGGCAACGCGAGGTTGCGAGCCTGGCGCGAGCATATCTTGCAGCCGAGATTAAATTTATTGACAAAACGCACGGAGGAGCCACGACGCATGCAGCGCCATTCCAATTGCCGCGAGATATGCGATGCACCCAATGAATAGCAGCGCGCGCCGATTCGCAGACCAGCCCGAGGCCTACGATTGGTGGACAGACATCGTGGAGACGAGCGTGGACACTGTTCGACGCGGAATGCTCCCCCGTATATTCTTGATTTGCGATTTTGCGAGGATGTCCGGGGTGTAGGTATGCGTGCCCCTGAGGGATCGAAGATCCCGATGCCCTGGGCAAGAGCAGACGCGCGCCTCGTGCTTTTGGATGCCATGGGAACCTTCTGCGCGGGCCAGCAACAAACCCGTCAACGTCTCGCGCTTCCCTGTCGCGATAATTGACGCGCCATGCGATGCGCCGGCCAAAGTGCCAACTTGCCCCTGGGCGCAGTGGCCATTGGGGGGTGCTATGTCTGAGCCGGCGACCGCGTGAGGATCGGGAAGGGATGTTATGCCCTTTGGTTTCTCCTTCGCATTTGGACGCCTCCGACCCCGTGGGCTCCGCCGCGGTCTTCCATGCGCGGACGACCCTTTCCTTTGTTCGAGAGCGTTTCCCTCTGCGTGTCGCTCTAGTTTCGCCGGGGGACTCTGGCCGCGGGGCGCGGGGGCCACGGGGGGGGGGGCGAAGGGCGCCCATCGCGACGGTCATCCTGTGGGCTCGGGCCTCGGAGGCAGCAGGCATCGAGGCGCGTTTCTGTTTTGTTTCTCCCGCGGCGAGTTTTTCCCCCGCGACCTGGGCCCGGGCCCCCGCCGCTCCAAGTTCCCCGCGTGGGGCGCGCGAAGCAAGAGAAGGATCAATCTTATTTTTGTCTTCGCACGCTGGCCCTGGTGGGCGCCCCGGTCTATGGCGCGAGGTCGAGTGGAGATCCTACGCGCGCTCGCGTGGCGTTTTTCTCGGGCGAGTGCGATATCTTCGCGCGTGACTCGCCTGCCACCGCGCTCGGTCGAGTTCTGATGAATGTCCCGGGGCGGCGTGGATCTAGATGAGCCACGCTTCTGCGGCTCTTCGTGACATGGCCCGCCACTGATGGCGCGGTGCCCCCCAGGCTTCCTGGCGACGAGGTCTCCTGGCGGGTTGATGTTTCATTGGTTGGCCAACCGACGCGGCTGTCTCCGCGGCGAGACCGACTCGCCCGCGCCCGTGGCCCCGCCGTCGCAAACGCGGCCGCTTCCCAGGACTTCCACGACAGGGCGGTTCCCCGCGGCGCGCGGGCCCCCCGCCCCCGTCAGGCAAGTGGGCCCAGCCCTGGGCAAGTGGCGGCGGAAGCTCAAGCGCGCGGCGCAGCTTCCCTGGGGACAGAGATGGCTCTTGGTGGAGCCAAGGCGGCCGCCCCCTGGCCTGCGCGACGAAAGCCGCGGAGTCTTCGGCGGCGGTCGACGGTCTTCCCCCGTCGCGAGCACGCGGCGCAGGCCGCAGCAGAGAACCGCATCCGCAGAAACACTTCGGACGGCGGCGAAGAAAGACGCGACGATAGTTGCCGCAATCTTCGGAGGCAGCGGCGCCCTGCCAGAGACCAAGATATTGAAATTTCTGAAGTCTGCGAACCCCGAGCTCGAGTCTCAAGGCAGCGACGCGCGCGTCTACGGCAAGCAGCCGGGCATCAGTTGCGCGCGCGGTTCCAGCAGCTCGACGAGTCCGCGCATGTTCAAGATGTTCGCAAAAGCAGCCGCCAGGATGAAGAAGGCAACGGCGTTCCAAAGGGCCAAGATAAGGACAGCTCACCGAAGCCCGACATGGACGCCATAATGTAGCAGTTGCAGGACACGCGGCAGACCATGCTCGACATCGCCAGCCAGAACCACCAGACTGACGCCGGCGGGACAAGCTACGCCCCGCAAGGTACTCCAGCGAAGCGCACAGAGAAGCTCAAGTCCCCTCGGCGAGCGACCCCCAAGGATGCCGAGGCCACCGAGCAGAAAGCGATGATGGGCCGCGGCGCCCTCTGAGGACATCGATTCACGCGCCGCGTTGGCGATTGAGTTTCGCGCGGCCGCCAACAGCCTCGCGATCGTCGGAGAATCCAATTCCTTCACAAGCTAGGTCACTCCGAATCGACGGGGGCGAGCAAGCGGGAGAAGGCCCGGCTGATCTTCGCGTGCTTTGCGAAACACGACGACCAGGCGTGATAAGATATTGCATTTCGTGTTCATGGTTAAGCCTGCCCCGTTCGCGTTGCTCCTCAAATGCTGGATCCACTGCGCTGCCGCCTCCAACATTGCGCAGGTGGTCCTCGAGGCTGCGACGCCGACGCGAGGGGGGCTGGGATATTGTGCTTCGTTATGTTTCGCCATTCGATGATCATCTGCGTGGCTGCTGCTCTGTTCCGTATTCTGGGTGCAGCAGTGCCCGCAGCAGCCGCGTCGTCAATGGCCCGTGAGATTTAGGTTCTGCCTTCGGGACGATTCTGCTTGGAGGCCCTCGCAGTCCAAGCAGCCTTCGGAGGGATTATGACCGTGGGCCTCTGTAGTTTTTTGCTGGGAAGCCTCGTCACTACATATTTTGTTCGGTTGGCGACGATGCCCAGAACCAGCGCTGTTTTGACCGGGCGAGCTGGGATGGCGCAACACCCCGTTGCTAGCTCCACAGAGAGGCCGCTTGATCGTTTCCGCTCGATCGGAAAATTTTCGCTCGCTCGACCAGGCAGCGCTGGCTCCGCGAGCAGCACAGCAGCCATAACGGCGGCGACGGACAACCAGTGCCACAGCGAGCACCGCGACGGTTCCACCGACGCCACCTGCAGCATACCTGTCCCCGCGATGCGCGACAGCAGCGCACAAGCTGCGCCGCGGCGGCCCCAACGACAACCTCCGACGCTACCCGACGCCCGTTTCCAGCATTCTCCTCCGATTTGTCGGCGGGCGTCAACTACAACTATTCACCAATACCGATCCTGGCCAGGCCCATCCTGGGCCCAGGATCGGTGCATGCGCCATCCTCGCCAAGACTGGAGGGCGTATGCGCCGACCCTGGGCCCAGGATGGGTCTGGCCAGGGTCGGTATTGGTGTATGGTTGGCGCCCCCCGAATCTACCGCGCCTGTCAAAAGCTGGGCCGACGCGCTACTCAAGCCACTGTTTCTTCTGTACCGAACATGTTTCACAACGCGCGGCTTGCCCAGGCAGTGTCTCCTGGCTGCCAGCAAGGGGCCGCTCCTGGTGGGGAATGAGAATGGGGCCGCTCTGCTCGGGAACGCTCCTCCTCGGCTCTTTCCTAAACTTGGCATCGCTCGGGCGTGTGCGTTCTCTTCTCGGGGAGGACCATCGAGGAGCTTCTTCACACACGAGATCAACAAACGCAAGTGGAATTGACGTCCCGGCGATGGCAAGTGACGTAAGGCGCAACAGATCGGATTCCGCAGCCTTGCCAGTTCGAGTTGTCAAGCGGGCCAACAGAAGTTGCCAGTCCGTAGTCAAAGGTCGCAGTATGCAAGGGGATTTGGATGGGGACGCCGCCAGGAGGGAGGGGAGGGACCGCCGCCGCTCCGCCGCCAAGGCAATTGAAAGGCAACTCAGGGACGGTCGGGAGCAGGGGGGAGGGCAAGCGGTGAGCCCTAGAACGAATCTCGGCCCCTCCCTCAACCGGAAGTGCCATAAAAGGATGCGCGGCTCAGGCCCCGAAGAGGGCGTGCAGGGGGCCTCCTCGGCGGGCCGCTCCAGGCGCCACCGTAGCGAGCGGGACGGGCGCTCGCATTCCTGACCCAGGTGGTCATCCGAGCAACGCAGCATTTTTTGGTAGTCTTCGCCGATATTGGCGCGCAAGCGTTGTTCGGAAGGTCGGCCGTGAACTCTCTCGTTTCCAATGTGGCGTGCCGCGCTGGCGGCCAGCCTGGTCCACCGCGTGTCGTTGTGTCGTCTCACGTCGTAAATCGGAGAAGGAATAGCAGCATAAACATGCATGTTCGGCGCTCCGCGTGGATTTCTTGGATCGGCGTTGGATTGCTTCCCTGGTGCTCGGAGCGCGCCGCTTCGCGCACCCTGGGGAGGGCGCCCCGGTGCTGATCCAAGAAGTCCGCGCGGAGCGCCCAAAGTATGCTTATGGCGTCGTTTTTTCTCTTTCTAGCCCTCCTCGATGCCTCTCTCTCTTCTTCCCGGGGCGCCCCGGGGAGGGCGGCCCGGCGCTGATCCAAGAGATCCACCCCGAGCACCGACAGTCATGCCCTCCTGTGCCTCCGGAGGCCCGTGAACGCGCCCGTCGGCCCAGACAGATTGACCTCCACCCTCGACCCTCCCTCCTCCTCTTCCTCCTCCTCCTCCTCCTCCTCGTCCTCGTCGTCCTCCTCCTCCTCCTCCTCCTCCTCCTCCTCCTCCTGCCCCCTTCCCAGGCGTCCGGCGTGTCCGGAAGTTCTCGAGACACGGGCCCCCGATCTCTCGATCGCATCTCCGGGACTGGCCACGTGTTGCTGGTCCCGAAGCCCAGGGAAGGACCCCGAGGGGCCGATATATATATATATATATATATATATATATGTATATGTATTTGTATCTGTATATATATACATATATATATGTGTACACATATACATATATGCATATAAACATGTATACACATATATATATATATATAAGATGTATGTAAATATGTATGTAACTATATGTATACGTATATATATGCATATGTGTATATACATATATATATATATATATATTATGTGTGTGTATGTGTGTAAGCGATGCCTGGAGGCGCTGGGTGTCTGGGTGCCCTTTCCTCCCTTCCTCCGTGCTGCTCCCGGCCGCGGGCTCAAGGTACGAGTGCGTCGCCGGCTACGAGCTGTGGCAGGAGATGTGGTCCGAGGCGCGCTGTCGGCGGCGCACCTCGGCGGCCGGGCCGCGCAATTGGTGCGCCTCGGAGGGGCTCGGAGCGCACGCACCACGTCGCTCTGGGCGGCGAGGGGTCCGAGGAGCTGGTCGAAGGAGCTCGGTGTGCACGGCAGGTTCCCCGAGGAGGAGCAGGCACCGGTACCGCTACTGCTTCACTCCTTCGCCCTCGCCTTCGTGGGCCTCTTCGGAGGCCCTCGTCGCCGCACCTGAATCTGCCTCGACCTTCTGGTCACAACGCACCCCGGGAGAGGTCCGCGGAGTTCAGGAGCGACAGAAGGACGTACACGTACATGAATCCATGCTGGTTTCGGGAGTACGCATTGCGCAAATGTTCGTATAACGCGGCCGGTCTCGCGGATCGAGGGGCCGTGTTCATGTACATAGCTGGGCGCGTACGTCCTTTGTGGACTCCCCAGGAGCAGAGCGGCACCGGTGCCTCTCGCTCTCTGCAGCGTCCGGGTAGCTTGCTGCGGCAGGAGCGCGCCGTCCCGGCGCGCCGCGGCCCCTTGTTAGCGCGGGCGCCCAGTGTTGAGCGCCGCCGGTGGCCCGGGATCGGCCAGTTCGGAGCGGACTGGCGACCGGAAGGCCGCCCATCGTTCAAGGTTGAATCTCAGGAGGGAACAAAAACACAGACACAGTCAATCGTCGATTCCCCAGAAAACATGGGACAGTATGGGAAGAGTACGGGGGGAGACAGACACCCAGAACATATGGGAAATGTGGGGAATCCAGCTATTTGTGTCCATTCGTTTGTGTGTCCCAGGGCCCCTTCAGAATGATCAAGGCGGTGGCAGAAAAACCAGCATGGCGGGGTCGCCACGACACGACCCCTGCCGCATGGACAGCGTCCCACAGGCTGGGACACTGGGGCGTCTTTGCACCGAGCTCGCCGTCCGACCGACCGACGTGGCGTATGTGCAGCAAGCCTTCCCAGGGGTGGCAGAGAGGGAGCGCCCTGGCCCAGCATGAAGAGCACGCGGGTCCTGGAGCGGAAGGTGCCCTTTGGAAGAAAACAGAACGCCGAACATATAAATTGTTGGCGCTCCGCCCCCCCGCTGGGCGCTAATGAAGTACTGGGGGGGGCGGCAAACGGGGGGAAGACGGGTGCCCTGCTCGGTCCCTCAAGGTCCTTTTCTGGGCCCAACAGGCTCATTGGCGACCCTACAGGGCCCCTTTTCCTAGAAGTGGAACAACACGCTGTAAATATAAACTTTTAGCGCTCCGCGCGGATTTCTAGGATCCGCGCTGGACCCCCCTCCCTGGCGCGCGGAACGCGCCAGAAGGCTTCGCTGGAGGCGCCGCCCGGGGGGGGCCCCGGCGCGGATCCAAGAAATCCGCGCGGATGCCAGAAGTTTCTGTTGATGGCGTTTGTTTCATCTTGTAGTCCTGGAGTTGTTGCTCAATGCCTCTCTCTTTCTTTCTCTCTTTGACTCTCTCTCTTTTTCCCGGGGCGCCACAACAGGCAATGTGCACGCCCGCAGCGTGCTCGGTCGCGCTGGTCGTGGGCCCGGTATGCACCCTGCCAGTATCGGCTTGGAGGGTGCATCTTTGGCGTCCTCCTGCTTGCTTGCCTGCTCAGCTCATCGAAGAACCGGCGGCGAGCGAGGGGGGGAAGCGAGAAGGAGAAGGCCTTCTCAGAAGGCGGCGGGACTTCTCAGAAGCCCCCGCGCCTTCTGAGAAATTCCTTGTGTCCTCGGGGATGGCTTAGATCATTTCTCAGAAGGTCGGGGGGCTTCTGAGCCTTCTGAAAAGGCCCGCCCCTTCTCTCTTCCCCCACAGGCTCGCAGCCGAGAAAAACTCAGAATCATCAACTTTCGGAATTCCGCGCGGATTCCTTGGATCGGTGTCTGGGCCCCACGGCCGCGCCTCTGGCGCCTCCCCTGGCGCGCCCAAGAAATCCGCGCGTACCTCGGAAATGGTATATTTCTACAGTTGAGTTGCTCTTCTAATTCATGCAACTCTTTTTTCTCTCCCTCTCTCTTGCTCTCTCTCTCTCTCAGGGTTGTGGTTCCTCGCTTCGAGTTCTACTCCTTCAAGGGCTTCCACATCTTCGCTGTGCACGTGCTTCATCACTCACGGTCAAGAGGAACTTCACGTTCTGAACGTGCTCCTCTCACTGTCTGCGCGCCTCTTCTCTCCCTTCGCCGGCTGTGCCCAATTTCGGCCACGGTGCATGCCACGGCTGCCCCCCGAACGCGGTGAGGGCTCGCTGCTGCGACAAACATGGTTTCATCAATTCTTCCCCACACCGTCTAAATGGGGTCTAGGTCCACGCCGACGGCGCCGATGCGTCGACGGCGTCGCGGATGCATCGCGAACGCATTTTGCATTGCATTGGCGATGCGGCGCAGCCCTCCGACCCCGTCTACTCGGACAGCACTCGGGTGGCTTCTGGTTGTTGGCGTCCTCACACTTGTGTGGATGAGCGGCTTTCCAAGTCTACCCCTACATCCTTCCCCTTTGGCCCATCCTTCACGACTTTCGCTGGCCAGCCTCCCTCGGAAAACGTCAGCATGGCCCTCCCCAGAGCCCTGCGTCCTTACCGTGCGTCCTCGTGATGCGGGTTGACGGCACCTTTCTCGCAGACAGCGCCATTGTTCTCCGCGAGCCCGCCCGTGGGGCGAAGGCAGACGGATTTGCTCCCCAGGAGTTCCTCGCGCATGAGGCCGCGACTGGGTGGCGCGCGGCGGCGCACGCGTCCGACGGACGCCGAGCTCGGCGGGATCGTCGTGGACGGACGGACAACGCACACCCATAGGAGGAGGAGGAGGAGGAGGAGGAGGAGGAGGAGGAGGAGAACGACTGGCCATGGGCATGGGTGCGGGTCGTCGGGCCCCCGGGGAGGCTCCCGCTCGAGCGGCGGGACACCCCCATCCGACAACCCACGCGCCCACAGCTCATGCCGTCCTTATGTCAGGAGGGAAAAAAACACACAGACACAATTAATCGTCGATTTCCCAGAAAAGTATGGGAAAATATGGGAAGTGGTGGGGAAGACAAAAACCCAGAAAATATATGAGAATATGGGGAATATTTTTATTTGTGTGTATTTATTTGTGTGTCCCAGTTTCCCTTCATTATGGGTCTGGGAACGCGCTGATCGTTCGTCCGTCGTTGGGCGCCGGGCCGGGCGAGCGGCTGCCGCCGGAGGCGCGCCGCCTCCGGTGGGTGTGGTGGCCCCCCCCCCCTTGCGGCCGCCCGCACGGGGCTGCAAGGGTTCTGCGAGGGGCGCGCTGCACGGAGCGCCAGGCGGGACTCTGAAGGCGCCGCCTCGCGCGCCGGGCGTGTACTCGGGAGGCCACGTTGTCACACGGAGCGCCGGAGCGGCCTGGTCTGCAGGCGCGGGGCACCGATGTGCACCACGAGTGGCCGCGGGAGCGAGCCCGTGCGGGCTGCCCTCGTGAGAGGCACCGCCGCCGCGCAGGTCCTGGGCGTGCCCATGCCCATGCTGTTTCTCCTCGGGGGGGGGGGGCTGAAGGACACCGTTCTCCGCCGCGAGCAGAGGCGCCCGGCCCAGTCCCTGATGCACTGGAGCCAGGTCAGGCACTGGATGCAATGAAGAAGTGCAAAGAGCCCACGGGGAAGTCCGCAGGTGGCGGCGGCTGAGGCGGAAGGGCGATGGGCGGGCCGATCACGGCGAGCTGTTGCTTTCAAGCCCATGCCATGACTCCGTGGTGTCGGAGGTTGGTCGAGCTCCTACCCTGACACGTCGATGCGGAGGAAGTGGACTCGCCCCGAGGATGAGGGCGGCACGGCCTTGCATTTCATCGCCCACCAAGCCACCCCAACCCAACCCGATGGCCCCGATTTGCCCTCCATTTCCAGTGTGGGGAGGGGAGGTCGGGGAATATTGAAAAACAAATACGGAGCCCGTACCTACCTCAACCCGAAATTCGGGTCTTCGGGTTGGGTTGGGGTGGTCTGGCAGGTAGCCAGCATTGCGCGGGGGCTTGATTGTGAAAGCGCGGATCACCCTGTAGTTTAAAAGAGGGGAGGGGGGTCCGAACCCCTCCCCCCCTTGGCGCTGGAAAGGGGGGGGGTCGAACCCTCCCCCTTCGCCCCCTTTGCGCTGAACAGGGGGCCAGGGAGAGAGCCTCTCCCGCAAAGGGGGGGGGGTCTGGCCTCCGGATAGTGACTAGTGAGTAGGTAGTAGTGAGTAGTGAGTAGGGAATAGTGAGTAGTGAATAGATAGTAGCGAGTAGTGAGGAGTGAGCTGTGAGTAGTGCGTAGTGCGCAGTGAGTAGTGAATAGTGGGTAATGGGTAGTGGGGGGTGGGTGGTGAGTAGTGACTAGCGAGTGGGGAGTAGCGAGTAGTGAATAGTGACTCGTCAATAGGGCATTGAGTAGTGAGTAGCGAGGAGGGAGCAGTCAGTAGTGAGTACTGAGTCGGGAGTAGCGAGTAGTGAGTAGTAGTTAGTAGGCCGTAGGGAGTAGTGAGTAGGCAGTACTGGCAAGTGAGAAGTGAGAATTGAATATCGGGCAGTGGGTAGTGCGTAGGGGGTAGCGAGTAGTGAATAGTGAGTAGTGAGTAGTGAGGCGTGAGTTGCGAGTAGTGAATACTGAATAGTGCGTAGTGAGTAGCGACCTGTGACTAGTGACTAGTGAGTAGGGAGCAGAGGGTAGGGAGTAGTGGGTAGTATGTAGTGAGTAGTGCGTAGTGGGTGGTGAATATTGCGTAGAGAGTAGTGAGTAGTGAGTCGTGCGTAGTGGGTAGCGAGTTCGGAGTAGTGGGTAGTGAGTTGTGAATCCTGAGCAATGAGTAGGGTAGTGACTTGTGACTAGTGCCTACTGGGTAGCGAGTAGGGAGTAGCGAGTAGTGAGTAGTGAGTAGTGAGCAGTGAGTACTGTGTAGGGAGTGGCGAGTAGCGAGTAGCGAGCAGCGGATTGTGAGTAGTGATGTGTGGGCACTGAGTAGTGAGTAGTGAACTCTGAGTACTCAGTAGTGAGTAGTGGATAGTGGGCAGCGGGTAGTGAGTAGTTTGTTTGTGAGTGCTGAGTAGTGGGCAATGAGTCGTGTTTAGTGAGTAGGGAGTATCGAGTACTGGGTCGTGAGTAGTGAGATGGGAGTAGTGAGTAGGGAATAGTGAGTAGTGAGCAGTGAGTGCGTAGTGCGTAGTGAGTTGTGGGTAGTGAGTGGTGCTTATTGGGTAGCGAGTAGGGTGTCGGAAGTAGCGGTTCGTGAGTAGTGATTAGTGAGTACTAAATAGTGAGTAGGGAGTAGCGAGTAGTGGGTAGTGAGCAGTGAGTTGTGGGCAGTAAGCAGTGTGTAGCGACGTGGGAGTAGTGAGCAATGAGTAGTGGTTAGTAGGTAGTGGGTAGTGAGTAGTGCGTAATGGGTAGTGAGTTGTGTTTGGTGCGTTGTGAGCATTGAGTAGTGGATAGTGAGCATTGAGTAGCGGGTAGTAGTGGGTAGGGAGTAGTGAGTCGGGTGTGGTGGGTAATTAAAAGTGGGCAGCGAGTAGTGATACGTGAGTAGTGAGTAGTGAGAAGTGAGTAGCGTGTAGCGAATAGTGAATAGTGGGTAGTGAGTAATGCGTAATGAATAGTGAGTACCGTTCGGGGCTGAGGATAGGGTTCGGGGTTAGGGTTGTGGGTTGGGGTAAGGGGCGAGGATTAGCGTTAGGGGTGGCAGGGGTCGGGGTCCGGAGCCCGGGGGCGCCCTGGCGAAGGGGGGGGGGGGGGGGGGGGATGGGGGGGGGGTCGAATTTGGCGGTCAAAGGGGGGGGAGGTGGGGGGGCTCGGACCCCTTCCCCCCTCCTATTTTGAAAGGGGGGAGTGGGGGGGGGTTCCCGACGACGGATCGGGAAGGGGGGGGGTCCCCGACGACGGATCGGGAAAGGGGGGGGGTCCCCGACGACGGATCGGGGGAAGGGGGGGTCCCAACCCCCCTCCCCCCTGGGGTAATCCAGCGGCGCACCCTCTTGCTCCCTTTCTGGCTGGTTCTCCTCGTGGCACCGTCGAGCGTGTTCGGCATCGACGGCCATGGCCGTCTGCCACGGGGATCGTTGACATATTGTCTGGCGCCCAGGGCACCCACTGGCAGTTGGCGGGGGGAGGCGTCCGCGCTCGCAGGCGGAGCCTCGGACGACGGCAGCGGCGAGCGCAGGGCAGCCCGGCCGGAAGCAGGGCACCCAGAGGAGATCCCGCAGGAGCGCCTGGCGGTCCTGTGCGTACAGCGAAGACGCATGCCAAGAGATACCCTGCTTGCCTCCAGGGTGCCCTGCGTTTCTTTGGTTTCGATGGTTTTGCTATGGAAGGCGCGACGCTCCCGCACCAAACATCGAGGGACATCCTGGGGTCTCGTGGTTGGGTTTCTTGTGGAAGGTTTCTTCCAACTCGTATCTCTGGGTGGAGGGCAAAGGGTGAAATCTGACATGCCGTTTCGATTGATTTTCGATGTTGGACTCTGCAAGAGGTGAAGCACAAGACGGATCTGTTCTCGAGGCGCGCGAGCCTACACCCTACGAGAATGCTCAGTTCTTGTGGCCAGGCCTCCGCTGTACGACTTGAGCGGGGGCGGGCCCGCCGGCGTCGCCGCATGGTGCCCCCCGCGACCACGGCACGGCGCCCGCCGTTGCCGCGGGCGCCGCCGGCACGGCCCAGAGCGGCTCGGGCACGGGCGGCGGCGGCCAGCGGAGCGTCGCTCGGGATGAAGAGCCTGGGGGAGCACTGCGCAGGAGGGCCAACGCAGAGATTCGGGCCAGGCCCAGAACGTGTGTGTGTGTGTGTGTGTGTGTGTGTGTGTGTGTGTGTGTGTGTGTGTGTGTGTGCGTGTCGTCGTCCTCAGCTTTCCCCCCCTCGTTTACTCTTTCCCCCGTTTCCCCCTCTTCCACCCGTCCGGGCCCTCACGGCGCCCCCCCCCGTGAGGGTTGCTGTCGGTCCACTGTGGGTGGATCCGGCTTCTCAACGCGGCGCCGCCGCGGGCGTGGCCGCGACGCCAGAATGTGTTTGCTTGCGTGCGTGTGTGCGTGTGTGCGTGTGTGCGTGTGTGTGTGTGTGTGTGTGTGTGTGTGTGTGTGTGTGTGCGGGTGTGTGAACCAACGTGACCTTGGCTGGCCGTGCGCGTCTCTTTGCCCGACGTTCTACGGCGCGCCAGTGCGCGTGTCCGACGTGATGGTGATGTTGTTGATGTTGGTGTTGATGCTGGTGATGTTGAGAATTATGATGGTGGTGATAATGCTAGTTCTTAGATCGGTGAACTTTATGATAATGATTGTGCAGTTTATGATGACACTGATGCTGATGCTGATGCTGCTGCTGCTGATGATGATGAGGATGATGATGATGATGATGCTAAGCATCATCATGCCGATGCCAGTGATGCTGATGACGATGACGGTGGCAATGACGATGATGATGCTTGTGTTGTTGATGATGATACTGATGATGTTTATGATGACGGTGATGATGACGGAGATAAGCCAGATGATGATGATGATGATGGTGATGATGAACATGATGATGATGGTAGTGAGGACGAAGATGATGCTGATGATGATGATGATGTCGACGGTGGTGACGGTGATGACGATGCTGGTGTTGGTGGTGATGTTGTTGATGTTGATATTGATGTTGATGGTTGTGGTGATGGTGATGATGACGATAGTGACGATTCCAATGGTGATGATAATGCTCATGATTTTGTGGGTGCTGGTGGTGATGATGATAGTGACGCTGATGTTAATGTTTATGCTGAGGATGATGATGCTGATGCTGATCATGATGCTGATGATGATGACGATGAAGATGATGATGATGATGCTGATACTGATGATGATGATGATGCGGATGCTGATGATGATGAAGATGATGATGATGATGATGATGATGATGATGATGATGATGGTGATGATGAATGTGTTGTTGACGTTGATGATGCTGATTATGATGATGATCATGATTATCATGTTCTTATGATGATCATGATGATCACGATGCTGATAATGACGATGATGAGGTGGAAGGAGGTGAGGAGTAGTTTTCCCTTCTCATCCACCCCCTCATCCCTGCCTGCTCTGTTCCCCCTCCCTTTCATTCCGTCCGTTCCTCCCCCCTCCTACCCCCCGTGCCCCACCGCCCCTCGCCCCTCTGACGCTCCCCCCCGGCAGGGCAAGAGGCAGTTTTGCTGCTCGCACTACGCCCGCGGCTGTGACTCAGACACCACCCAGAGCAGGACCGCTCCCCCGCCCCCCCTTCTGAGCGGAGTGGGCCGGGGCGGGATGGGGACGACGAGCGACGAAGAGGAGGACGAGGACGAGGACGAGGGGCAGGCTGGTGGGGGGGGTGGGCTACGAAGGAGGGTCCGACCGCACAAGTGGTGCCGGACCGGACTACGGCCGGACCGGACTACGGTCAGGACTACGGACCAGAACGCCTGCCCAGCGTGTCGATCTGTCGGTGCTGGCCCACCACGCTTCGGCGCGACACGCTAACCACGTCCTCGTTCCCAAGAGGCAAACTCCCGCACTCTTCCCAGCCTCCCGCCCCGCGGAGCGAAGCGAAACGTTATCAGCTCGCAGGCTGTAGCGTGTCGGCGGGGCCGCCGCCGTAACACGCTAAGCAAAACCTGCTCACCGTAGATAGGGTCGGAGCATCGCGCCGCATCGTCGATGCATCGGCGGGAGAAAGATGGATGAGGGAAGGGGCATGGGGAGGGAGGGAGGGACAAGGAAGGGGGAGGCGGGAGAGATGGAGGAAGGCACGGAGGGAAGAGGATTCGCACGAAGCAGGAGGGGAAGTCGGCCGAGGGAGGTGGCCGAGGCGGCGAGGATCCAGCCGCGGCGACGAGGAGCGACGAGGGGGGGCGGAGGAGCACCCCGAGGTGGTCGAGCCACGTCCGTCGAGCCACGTCCTCCGGCAGCCTGGTCCTCTGCGACGGCCTGCCTCCTCGCACGGACACACACCGAGTGTGGCGAGTGCGGCGGGGCGGCGCGCGCCCACCCCGCCTGCTCCTGGCGGCTCGGGTCTCTCTCCCTCCTCCTCCTCCTCCTGCTTTTCCTCCTGCTCCTCCTCGTTCTCCTCCTCCTCCTCCTCCTCCTCCTGCTCCCCCTCCTCCTCCTCCTCCTCCTCCTCCTGCTGCCAGCCCCTTCCTTCTCGCACTGCCAAGTCCTGGCGGGCCACTGCTCTCTCGCGCGTGCTGACCCCAGCAGCCGTGCAGCTGCTGAAGGGATCTCGCTTCGCTGCTCCGCACCGGCAGCTGCTGTTGCCGCGGCCGGCTCTCTCGCGCCGACCGCCCCAGCGGCCACTGGCTGCCATCTCGCACGAGCTGACCTTCGCTGCAAAGTATCGGGGGAGCGTAAGACCTGGGACCTGGGTTTGCCAGGACTCGGTTCGCCATCGTTCATTGACGACCGCGCCTCGGATTTTGACGAGGAGGAGTTTCGTGGGATGTCTGCAGCGGGAGGCCTCGTCAAATTGCAGGCTCGGCCTCGTCATTTTTTTGACGACCTCGTCGGGGATTTCCGAGTCCCCTGTACCCAGGTCTTACGTCCCCCTGAAAGTAGCTGGCGCAGTTGCTCCTGCTGGCCATGGGCACCAGCAACCGCTGCTGTCACTGCCCCCTTCTCGCACCGGCAGCCCTTGCTGCCACCGCCTGCCTCCTCGCATAAGATGGTACCCGCTGCAATGGAGCCTGCAAGTGTTGCTCCTGCATGCCACTTTGGCACCGACAGCCGCTGTTGCCATTGCCTACGTGCTCTCACCGATTCACTTTGGTGCCAACGCGTCCCTTCTCGCACAAGCCGACCCCCGCTGCAGTGCAGCTGGAGATGTCGTTCCTGCTGGCCATCTGGCACCGACGAACGCTGCTGCCGCTGCCTGCCGTGTCGCACCGACAAAGCATGCTGCCTCTGTCTGCCTTCTCTCAGGAGGGAAAAAACACACAGACACAATTAATCTTCGATTCCGCAGAAAATATGGGAAAATATGGAAAGTGGGGGGGACGACAAAAGCCCAGAAAATAGGGGAAAATATGGGGAAGTTTTTTATATGTGTGTATTTATTTGTGTGTCCCAGGGCCCCTTCATTCTCGCACGAGCTGACCCCCGGCGCAATCTAGCTGGCGGTGTTGCCCCTGCGTGGCTGTTTCCTCGCTCTCGCGTCGACAGTCCCTGCTGCCACCGCCTGCCTCCTCGCAGTGCCCCCTCGGCCTGGCGTCGCCCGCGCGACCCGGCCCCAGCGCTGTAGCTGCTGACGTTGCTTCACGCCTTGCTGCCGCACGGGCCGCTCCCAGCCGCGTCTTCCTCCTCCTCCTCCTCCTCCTTCCTCCTCCTCCTCCTCCTCCTCCTCCTCCTCCCTCCTTCCTCCTCCTCCTCCTCCTCCTCCTCTCTCCCTCCCTCCCCCGGGCAGCACAGCCTGCCCGGTGCAGGCGGCGCGAAGCAGAGTGCTCTCTTCCCCGCGAGCGCCTCGACGTCTCGAGAGCGGGGCCAGCCGCCGAAGGCAGGCACGACGCGACCCGCCCGCCGGGCAGTTTCGGACAGCGGCACGCTTCCCTCCTCCTCCTCCTCCTCCTACTCCTCCTCCTCCTCCCCCTCCTCCCCCTCCTCCTCCTCCTCCCTCCTCCTCCTCCTCCTCCTCCTCCTCCTCCTCCTCCTCCTCCTCCTCCTCCTCCTAGCCGATTGACACCTCTGATTTTTGGGCCGGCCCCTGCTCGCCTGCCCTCGCACGCGCGGCTCCGCACAGTTTTTCGCCGCGGAGGTGCCGCCTCGGCTCCTGCGTGCCTGCCCCTGCACTCCAGGCAGCGGCGCCGCAGGTGGTGCCAGTGCTCGCCAAGGGGTGGCGGAGGGGCGGGGAGAGGGGACGAACGAGGGAGAGGGACGGAGGTTGCCACGCCTCCTGGCTGGGGCGCGCGTGCGCGCGTGATCTCGGCACCTTGGCTGACGACGTGGGGCGCCACGCTCCGTGATGCCGGCCGGCTCTCGCGAGCACGGCCACCTTGAATCCTGCCCGCGAAACACCCTTGCGCCCCCCTTGCACAGGGGGGCCGCGCGGGCGCGAAATGGCTGGAGGAGGGAGAAGGGGAACGAGGAGGCGGAGGAGGACGAGGGGGAGGACTGGGCGGGAGGAGAAGGAGGGGGGAAGGGGGGGGCGAGCCTTCACCGCGCGCGCAGCAGCTCGACTCCTTCTTCCCCGACCGCGTCGGCCACGTCGACGACGCTTGCGGCGACCAGCGAGGCCCGCGGGGCCTGGCCTGGGGTTCTGGATTGGGGACTCATGTGCGAGGAGGAGAAAGAGGAGGAGGATAATGAGGAGCAGGAGGAGGAGGAGGCAGAAGGCAGGAAGGGGGAGGGAGGGTACGGAGGAGGAAGGATGATGACCAGAGCCACCCCAAGACAGATCAACGATGCTGCAGGCACATCCTGCCGTCGAAGTCCCCTCCTCACCCGTCCACGCGAGCACTCGCTTCAGACTGCGAGGAACGCCCCTTCGAATGGCCTGCGCCCCATGGGCCCACAATTCAGGCGCAAGCTCGCTGTTGGGATACATTGCTTTGCATGATTCCCGCTGAACAGGAACCGCCCTCCGTCCGTGTACCAGTCAAATTATCCAAGCATCTGATCGTAAGGTCTACCGCAGTCTGTTGTGAGAGCCCATGTCGGAAAGGAGCCGCGCTCCTTCTATGCAAGTGTTGGCATTGTTACACTCGTGGTAGCATATTGAAAGGACGTCTCCAGCGACAGACCAGTTTGAAGAGGATCCGCCCGCCACGTGTGTAACTGCATGGTCCGTCTGCGACGAAAAGCGCGGCACTATGTGAGGCACGCACAAAGGACCTCGCAGTCGAGGATCGCAGGAGGTGACATCTCTTCTTCGGCTGAATGTAGCCGGAATAATGAGGAGGCCGCTTCCGCCAGCGTAAGGTTGGCGGCACTAGGCGGAAGGCAAAGTCGGTCTCCCAAGATATGGCACGGTTTCTTTGTTCAGGGTACTCTGAACCCGCCATGCGCAGCGTTTGCATGACTTTCTCCGCGTATGTCGCCGTTTCCTCAGACGTCTCGGGCTTCTCAAGGCGCCCAACATACGTCCGCAACTGGAGAGTCTGCATCGGGCCCCTCGCTCCATCTGGAACATCCCGTACACTGGCCGTGCATGGAGTGTTTTTGCACCATGGTTACTTGGAGTTGCACAGGGTTGGGTTCATCACCAGGCTATCGCAGAAGAAAGATTGGTCAGCGTGGACTCCGCATATTGTGTGTGCGTGTGTTCTAGCATTCTGTGTTGTGCAATCTGCGTGGAGCAGTCTATACTCTATGTGGTGCAACCTATGTTGTGCACATTTATGCTTTGCAATCTAAGCAGTGCACCCGTGCGTGGAGCAATCAATGTTGAGCAGTCTATGTGGTGCAACCTATGTTGCGCATTCGTCGTGATTCAACACATGTGGTGCAACATGTGTGCTGCCACTTGCGTGGTGCAACCTATGTTGTGCAGTCTACGTCGTGCTATCCTTGTGGTACAAACAGTGTGGTGCAACCTACGTGGTGCACGCTACCTTGTGCAATATATTATGTGCACTGTATGTTTGGCCATATTGGTGGAGTCGTCTGCGTTGTGCAATATCTGTGATACAATCTACGTGGTGCAGCAGTCTCTGTTGAGCAGTCCATGTTAGGCTGTATACGTGGTGCAATGTGCGCAATCATGGGTGACAGCGAGGCGGCGATGAGGCGGCGACGGCGAGCACATAGCCGCCAGACCGCCGCCCAGGCCCAGACGACGGGAGGCGGCGAGGCGGCGAGGGTGCGGCGACGGCGAGCCCGCAGCCGTCAGGCCGCCGCCCAGGCTTTCTTCCTCAGAAAGTGTATGCAACACCCCCCCTGCGTGCAAGCACTGTTTGGGGACAAACAGCGCAGACACAAACTTCAGAAGCTCCGCGCGGAGTTCTTGGATCCGCGCTGGACCCTACTGGCGGCGCCTCTGGCGCCGTCCCTGGCGCTCTCCGCGCGCCAGAGAGGGGGGCCCCACGCAGATCCAAGAAATCCACGCGGATCGTCGAGCGTTCATAAGCGCGTCCATCACCAGGAGTGGCACGTTTAGTTATGTTTACGCAGTTCTGTCTCTCCTTCAGAGGAGTGCTCAGTGCCATTGTGTTTAGGTGACCTCCCCGGAGGCCTCTAGGAACAGCAGCCGACCTCGCCGGCGGCAGACACGGCGGGAACGACGGCAAGGACGACGACGAGGGAAATTAGCAAGACGAAGGGGCGGCAGACGAGGAGAACGAGGACCCAAGCAGTGACGACGCGTGCTGACCTGCCGATCACCCCCCAAAAATGCTCCAACCACCTCTTGTGGTTTGCACGAAGCACGAACTGTTCTCAGAGCAGTTCTGTCTGAGGCAGTTGTTTCTTTATATTTAGGCTTTTTATCATCAGAACGTAGGTTTGGTTCTCAGCACACTATTGCGAAGGCCTTACGGCCGGTGTCGCCGACTCTGAAGACGACGAATATGAAAACCTTCGGGGGGGGGGTAGGAGGCGGAGTGAGAGGAGGAGTGGGGGGGAATAGGAAAGGTGGAGGAGGCGGATGAGGGATGAGGAGGGGGGGAAGGATGAGGAGGGGGAGCATGAGGAGGGGGAGCAGGGGGGGGGGAAGAGGAGGAGGAGGAGGAGGAGGAGGAGGAGGACGAGGAGGAGGACGAGGAGGACGAGGAGGAGAAGGAGGAGGAGCAGGAGGCCTCCCTGGACCTTCGTGAGAGTCCTTTTGGGGCTCTTTTGACCCCTCTGGGGGCCCCTTTGGCCGTCCTTAGGCGTTCTTGGGCTGTCTTGTGGGGCCTGGACTGCCAAGGGGCGCTCATGCGGATCCGTCGTGGCGACCCCCCCCCCTCCAGCGCATCTACAGAGGGCCCCTCTGCAAAAGCCGCAAACGGGGGATGGTATTCAGACCCGGGACCCCCACCAGGACCCCTCCCCAGGACCACCCCCTGGGACTCCCCCCCGAGACCCCCCGAGACCCTGCGACGCCCAGGCGGGGAAGGGATCAAAGCAATGGGGCTTCCCTTCGACTCAATGACAACGTTGTTGATTTCGCTTTGGCTGGGTTGCTTCATTTCGCTTTGGCTGGCGCGCTTGAGGACGAGGGCCCAGGCAACGAAGGGGGGAGCGGCGACGGACCCAGGAAAGAAGACGACGAGTACGTACGATGACAACAACCACGACGAACAACCCATTCCAGACGCCGACAGGGTCGGCGAATTTTCTTCTTAGGAAAGTTTCGTGGTATGCCCTCATGAATGCCAGGACGTTCGGTCCATGCTCAAATGGCGAAAGGCGTCGAAGACGGGAGCGGAATGATATAACACGCCCAATGAACCGCCCAGCTGCGGTTCTCGCCTCGGCATCCCTGGGATGTGTACTTGTTTGTCTCGGCGATGACCATCTGGGATCATCTCGGCTCATCTCGCGACACACACGAGCGCACGAAACCTAAAAGTGCACTGGGAATGGACGCCCGACCGACGGCAATAAGCGGCATCACGATGGGCTGGATCACCCGCAGGGGCGCGGGCCGCGGCTAGCGCAGCGCGGCCACGGGGCCAGAGCGCCCTCCCACAGGGCGCAGGCGCGCAGAGTCAGGGTTACACAGATCGGGCCGGACGAAAGGGGGGGATTGGGAAAGGGGGGGGTACGAAATTTGCTGCATGCAGCTGGTTTCGGCCTCACCGAGGGGCCCATTTCTCGATACATAGCTCCATCCGGCGCCGGGAGGCGCCGGGAAAATCAGCTACGTGAGCTGATTCTCAAATCCCCCCTTTGCTATCCCCCCCTTTCGCCCGACCCGAACAGAGGGCCCGCTGGGTACATCGAAGAAGGAACACGGCATACACACATGCATTTAGTTAACAATGGGTAGGGGGTCCCGGGGCCCCCAACGTGCACTGATTTGTCTTACCGCCGTTTCGGGCCCGGTGAGGGGCGCCAAGAAAGGTCAAAGGGGGCCGAGAGACGTCCAAGAAGGCGCCAAGATGGCCCAAGGGCGCTCCAAGAGGGCCCAAGACCGCACAAGAGCGATTCAAAATGTGTCCAACATGGCTTGAAGAGAGCCCAAGAGGGCTTCAAGACGGCGAATATGCCCTCAAAAGAACTCCCACGAGGCACTCAGGAGGCGAACCAAACATGTTGTTGTTCAGGGGTTTTGAAGGTTGTTCGTCTTCTCGCTGTTTCGTGCTTCTGACGGTCAGAGACAGCCCACGAGGCTCCAGAAATCAGCTCAAGACGGCGTCAGAGGCACCCAAAGAGGGCGCCACGACGGCGCAAGACAGTGCCAAGACGGCCCAAGAGTGCCCCAAAACGGCCCAAGAGGCGCCCAAGATCGTCCAAGAGGGCCCCAAGACGGCCCGACGAGGGGCCCAAAGGGGGGAACACGAACAGACAATTCGAGCCTTCCGCCCCAAGAGGCCTCCAGGAGGCCCCAAGAGGCCCCCAACAGTGCCCAAGAGGCCCCATAGAGGCCTACGAGGCCCAAAGGGTCCCCAGAAGACGCCCCACGAGCATTCACCATGCGGACCCCGCGACCAGGCTCTTGGGGCCCAAGGCGGCCCACTTTTCCAAAACTACCCCCCCCCCCCCCCCCCCCCGCGGTGCCCACTGTGTCCCTCGGGGTCCGGGACTCATTGCGGGCCTTCGGGGGGCTTTCGGAGGGCCCGAACGCGTTCCCAAGGCGGTCCAGGAGGCTTCCGAGACGGTCCAAGAGCGCGCCAAGATGCCCAAGATGGCTTCAAGACGGCCCGAGAGGCCCCAAAAGCCCTTCAAGAGGGCTCCGAGAGGACACGTATGAGGGCCGCAAGAAACACAAATCTCCCCAATTACTCGGGGAAGCGTATATTTGGGATGGTTAACGGGGAAGGGCGTATGAGGAATATTAGAGGACGAAGAGGCAAGGCATGGAATGAGCCAGTCCGAAAAGCACTCACAGTTGACAGATTCTAACGCGAGCTGAGGGACGTAAGGAGTGGAAGCGCGCGTGCACCCGCGGCCGCGTCGGCTCAAGCGGCCGGCCGCCCAAATATGACTGTGCCTCACTGCGAGGCACACAGTCGCTATCGAGACCGAAAGGATCTTCCTACTGCTTGAGATGGCACATCCTCTCATACTGGGACTATCGTTACTACGGTACAACAGAGCGGGAGCTTGGCTTCACCTGAGGCGAAGCTGCTGGCTGGGCCTACCAGCCCCCCC